CCATCCTCCTCCCTTTCTCTCTCCATCCTCCTCCTTTTCTCTCTCCACCCTCCTTTTCTTTCTCTCTCCATCCTTTTTCTCTCCATCCTCCTTTTCTTTCTCTCCATCCTCCTCCCTTTCTCTCTCCATCCTCCTCCTTTTCTCTCTCTCCACCCTCCTTTTCTTTCTCTCTCCATCCTTTTTCTCTCCATCCTCCTCCCTTTTCTCTCCATCCTCCTCCTTTTCTCTCTCCATCCTCCTTTTCTTTCTCTCTCCATCCTCCTCCCTTTCTCTCCATCCTCCTCCTTTTCTCTCTCCATCTCCCTTTTCTTTCTCTCTCCATCCTCCTCCTTTTCTTTCTCTCCATCCTCTTTTTCTCTCAATCCTCCTCCCTTTCTCTCTCCATCCTCCTTTTCTCTCCCCATCCTCCTTTTCTCTCTCCATCCTCCTCTTCTCTCCATCCTCCTCCCTTTCTCCCCATCCTCCTCTTCTCTCTCTATCCTCCTTTTCTCTCTCCATCCTCCTTTTCTCTCTCCATCCTTTTCTTTCTCTCCATCCTTTTCTCTCTCTCCCTCCTCCTCTTCTTTCTCTCCATCCTTATTCTCTCTCTTCATCCTCCTCTCTCTCTCTCCATCCATCCTCCTCTCCCCCTCCCCGTCACGCGCGTGCCCGCCAAGACCCCCCCTCCATGCCTGCGGGCCCCCCCAACCTTTGTATGCCTGCAATAAATATGCAGCAGCCCTCTAATTACGCCTCCCGCCTCCTTTTCTCCTTAATGAGACAATTTGCATCGACTAACCACCCTGCGGAAGGGGGGGGAGGGGAAGAAGCCAGCATAGAGGTTAGTGGGGGGGGGGAGAGAGAAAAAGGGGGAGGGGGCGAGGAAAGAGAAAGAGAGAGCCCAATTTGCTGCCCTCCCCCCCCTCCCCAAGTCCTCCTTCTTCCTTCCAAGTGGAGGAATGAACTGAAAAAAGGGGCGGTGGGCTTCATTTTAAAAAATAAATAAATCTATTTTTAAGAGCTGTGATGCAAAAAAACCAAAAAAAGGTTGGGGGGCTTTAAGAGTTTTGCAGGAGAGATTGACTCCTTTAAGCAAAATGGGGAGGGGGGGGCTCTTTGCAGTAGATCTGAATTGGGACACCCCCCCCCCTTCTCAGATCTTCCTTCCTCCTCCCAGCGGGCTGAGGCTGCTGGGTGGTGTAGTCCGCAGGCAATGTTGATGGATCCCCTAACCTCTGCTAAAAATGAGTTGAGGTCCTCGCATATAGGGTGGGTTTCCTTAAATCTCCCCTCCTTAATTCTCAACCTTGGGGATTTGTGGGGGGCGGGTGGGCACAGGGGCAGAAAATGGCCACGTCCGAAAACATCAATTTTTTTTTTTTTTTTGAAAGCATCCAGAGCGAAATGGAGCCGATTTTAAACAAGCGTAGGAAAGAATCCAATGGATGGTTTTAGCTGAGCTGCTAAACCATCATTTATAATAAACCAGCTTTGCCATGTATTGGTCGATGCTGGGTAATCCCAGGGATTTAGCGTCCCTTGGAAATTCAACTTTTTTTTTTTTTGGCAATCCAACGGTGGACATTATTACAGGTCGAATACCTCCGTGCGGCACAGGTGGCTTATTTAGTGACCGTTCAACGGTACGACGGCCCTGGAAAACGTGACTTAAGCGACTTATTTTTCACAGTGACAAACCTTGGTGGCATCCCCCGTCGTTAAATTTGGCAACTGGTTCATACTTACGACCCTTGCTGTGGCCTGGCCGGGGGGTGTCAAGCGATCCCCTTTTGCGACATTTTGACAAGCAAAGTCACCGGGGAAGCCGGATTCACTTAACAACGGGGTTCGTGCAGCGACTCGCTTAACAACGGTGGCGAGAAAGGTCATAAAATGGGGCAACGCTCACTTAATCTCATTTAACCGCAAATTCAACTGTGGTTGTCAGTCGAGGGTTACCTGTATATTTAACCAAACTCAACGCAGACTGTCCTCGATTTACGACCGCGAGCAAGCCCAACATTTCTGTCACTAAATGAGGACAGTCGTTAAGTGATGTTTGCCCCATTGGGGTGACCTTTCTCGGCCTTGTGAATCACTGTCGTTGTTAAGTGAATCATTCGGTCATTAAACAAATCAGGTGTCTCCCATTGACTTCGCTTGCTGGGAAATACGAGTTGGTTGCCAAGCAACGGTTGTCGCGAGTGTGTAAATCTGTCCTAACTCTCATTTTTTTTTCACTGCGGGTGTAACTTTGAACAGTCACTAAATGAATCATTGTAAGTCGAGGACTACAACAGTTCATTTAGGGACCGTTCAAAGTTACGACAGCACTGAAACACGTGACTTAAGCCCTTTTTTCACACAACCCTTGACACTTCCCCATGATTGCACGATCAAAATTCAGACGCCTCGTACTTATGACCGTTGCTGTGACCCAAAGTCCCATGATCCCCTTTTTACGACCTTCGGACCAGCAAAATCCACGGGGGGGGAAGCCCGATTCGCTTAACAACCGGGTTACTAACTTATCACCTGCAGCCATCCGCTTCACAACCATGGCAAGAAAGGTCGTAAAATGAGGACAAAACTCCCTTAAAACAACAGACATGTTGGGCTCCATCGGCGTCGTAAATCGAGGACTACCCGTCTCTGAAAAAAAAAAAACGTGTAGAAATTCAGATGAGAATTTGATTTTCATCTGAATTCTTTTGCGGCCGAGGTTCCCGGTCCAGACATTGGAATAATTTACCTCAGGATGTTGTTGTGTGGAAAAAAAACAACCCCAAATCTTACAAGAAAATAGAAAAATGCGACGTTGAATTGCTGGATTATATTGTTTTTAGGCGAGGAGACGCGCAGGTGTTTGCTGATGGACAGTTCGATTAAGAGCAATTTTAGCAATCACCAGCCAGCGAGCCGCTTAGTGACAGGGAAACAATCAGCCGTATCGACGGAAATCGCTTTTGAATACAACTTGCATTATCGGATGAACACGGGGAGACGGACGCAGGAAAAAGGACCCTTCCCACCCCAATTCTCAAAATGACGCGCCGTCCCTTTCACTGGCGTTTAAAAATTTGCCTCTGCAAGTGAAGTACACCGGGGTGGGGAAACGCAGAGAAACCGATTGTATGCTGGTTAGGTCAAAAAAGTCAAAATGGAGGCCGCAACGCTGAGGGGAAGAGCCAAGGCTGGTTTTTCGCTGCTGTGTGATGTTTTGGGGGTGTTTTTTTGACGGTAATTTTTTAGGCATTTCGTTAAAAACGGAAAGAAATTTAGCTCTACAGGCAGTCCTTGACTTACGATTCGTTTAGTGGCTGTTTGAAGTTACGCCGGCAGTGGAAAGAGGGAATGACGACCGTTTTTCATGCTTATGACCATTGCAGCATTTGGACGTTTGGCAACTAGTTCAGATTTATGACAGTTGCCGTATCCCGGGGTCATGTGATCCCCTTTTGCGACCTTCTGACAAGCAAAGTCAATGCAGAAGTGAGATTCACTTAACGACAGGGTTACTAACCCAGGTCAGGAGAAACTGGGACTGTCATGGAGGGCCGAACCGAATTCTGCTCCATATTAATGTTGCTGTAACTTTGAATGGTCACTAAATGAACTGTTGTTGGTCGAGGACTGCCTGTACTGGAAAATCCATTGCTAAGCCAAGGCGGTCGTGTTGTGAGCCATGTCTTATTTTACAACCTTGCCACCGTTGTTAAGCGAACCACTGCCGTTGTTAAGCAAGTCACATGGTCGTTCAGTGAATCCGACTTTCTCCTTGATTTGGCTTGTCAGAAGGTCGTAAAAGGGGATCGCGTGACCCCGGGATGCTGCGACCGTCATAAGTATGAATCGGTTGCCAAGCATCTGAATTCGGATCACGTGACCCTGGGGAGGCTGTGATGGTCATAAGATGGAAAAACAGCCACAAATCAGTTTTCACCGCCGTTGTAACTTCAAACGGTCACTAAGCAAACTGTCGTAAGTCGAGGACTACCTATAAGCTAAGGAACCGTGCGTGGGAGTGAAAATACACAAGTCTGAACACCTGGGGGGGGACGATCAGAAAATATATTGTGTGGCACTCACACCTGTGCAACAGTGGGACTGTCCCCATCTTCTCAGTTGACAACGTGTTGTGAAATTTGCATTGCAAATTGCAAATTTCCATAAGGAACAGCTTTTCCCCATAGAGTCAGTCCTCGACGTATGACCACAATTGCTACCAGAAAAACCATCGTTGGGACGTGAGCCGTGTCTGATTTTACAAATTGCCACGGTTGTTAAGCTGGTTGTTAAGTGAATCTAGCTTCCCCTTTGACTTTTGCTTGTGAGGGGGATCACGTGAACCTGGGGTACAGCAACCGTCATAAATAGGAGTCAATTGCCAAGCGTCTGAATTTTGGATTGCGTGACCATGAGGTCGTAAGAGCGAAAAACGGTCGTAAGTGCTCTTGTAACTTTGAACAGTCCCTAAACAAACTCTTGTAAGTCGAGGACTACCTGCACTGGAAAATCTGTTATTAAGCAAGGCGGTCGTGATGACAGCCGTGTCCAATTTTACAACCTCGCCACGGTTGTTAAGTGCATCAGGGCGGTTGTTAAGTTAGTCATACGGTTGTTCGGTGAATCCGGCTTGTCAGAAGGTCGCAAAAGGGGATCACGTGATCCCGGAACATGGTGACCGTCATAAGTATGAGTCGGTTGCCAAAGCATCTGAATTTTGATCACGTGACCGTAGGGATGCTATGATGGTCGTAAGTGTGAAAAACGGCCCTCAGTTCCTTTTTTCAGTGCCGTTGTAAGTTTGGATGGTCATGAAACGAATGGTTGTAAGCCGACGATTGTCGGCTTACAACCAGCTTAAGAAGGTTGTAAGCCTTCTTAACAGTCCTGCGATCCGTGGACAGATTGCAAGCCACGTCAGCCAGAACGCTTCGTGTGTATTAGTGGACCAGCTTGTCCACTCATGGTAATGTGGGATTCACACGTGTTTTGTCTTCTCTTGTTTTTCCCTGCAGGGTCTCGGCTCCTGTGCTGAGATGATCCCTCCGTACTCCTCCCGCCTGCACCGCCATGGATGCTCCCTCTAACTCCTCCTCCTCCTCCTCTTCCTCCTCCTCCCACTCCTCCGCTGCTGTCCCCCCGGCAGACGGACAGGATGACCGGGCCACGGTTTGGCCTGCTCAGGGCTCTCCTGCCTTGCCACCCACCAAAGAACCCCCGCTCTGGGACCCTTCCTCTTCCCCCTCGCCCCATCCTGATGACGTCATGAGACCCTGCGCCAGCGCCCAAGCCGCCGCGCTCGGCTTGGCCAAGTTTCCCGCCGCCGTCTCCTCTAACCCACAGCTCCAAGCGGACCCCAGCCCATCCTTGCCAAATCCGCCCTCTTTCCCTCTAGGCCCGCCGCTGGTCGAAGATGGGGTCCAGCTGGAAAAACAAAGAGACGAGGACGCTGGGCGCGAGGCCCAGCTCTTCTTTTCCGCCGACGGTTCGGCGTACCTCCTCGCTAGCGGCCACGTTCTCTTACCAAAGGGCTCCCCCATCACCGCCACTCCTCAAGTGTCCATTCTCCACATCCAGGACAGTGGAGGTCCTAACCAAGGCTTTATGTCTGTTGACCAAATGTCCCAGAATACCTCAGCGCCAGGCGAGGTGACCCCTCAAGGCGCCTTCTACAGTTACCGACTGGCCGGGGCCCCAGCTCAAAGTACGCCTGCCAAAAACGCTGCCGCCAAATCCAAAGATGCCCCCACCGCCCCCGTGGAGAATGAGGATGCCACCCGTGGCCGAGACAAGGTGATGCCAGGGGGCCCCGTGTGGCTATGCCTGACGTGCCGCCTCTTGTTCACCCAGGGCCGCACCTTGGCATCTCATGCCCGTACCGTGCACGGCGTCCAGCTCAGCAACGAGAAACGCCAGGCCTTGGATGGAGGGGCTTCGGCTGTGTTCCAGGGCACCGACCTGGGCTTCCTAGAACCAAATAACCCCACCACCGAGGCAGACCTCAATGCCAGAATGTGTAGCAGATGGGTGAATGTAAAAGAGGAGGAGGAGGAGGAGGAGGAGGAAGAGGAGGAGGAAAACGAGAACGAGAAGCGAAGCCCAGAAAGACGATGCGAGCCATCAGATACCAAAGATTCAAGGGTCGGCGGCACGCACTGGGCAAATGGCTCCATGGAGGAGAAACCAGAAGAGGAGAAGGAGGAGGAAGAGGAGGAGGATGAGGAAGAGGTGGCACAAGTGGATGAAAAGAAGAAAGAGAAGGAACTGCTTCCAGACCAAAGTTCACCAGATACATCAAGCACACCCTTGGCTGCTAACACCCCTCTCTCAGAGACACCACTGACCAAGGCCCCAAATTCTGACCACGCAGGGCCACCTCAGGAGGACGTAAACACGGAGAGGACCACCAACAAGATCCTGAAGGAAAGACTGATGCACGAGGTCCCTTGTGTGGAAATAGCAGCCGAAATCAGCAGGCCCGAGTCCGTTCCCAAAGCCGACAGCGTTCCCAATGATACCAACCGGATGGGTGTTGAGCCGGCGCATGACATCAGCGCCACTGACTTGGCAGACAGCCTGAGCAGTGTAGGGATGGCCAACGAAGTGATGACGGCCGGGTTCGAGGTCAACAACGGACTCGGGAGCAACGGCCACAACGGCGGAGGAGGACCCTCGCTTAGCTTCGGGGAAGATTTTACGGCGATGGCGTATTCAGGATTGACTTTGTCAGGCCACATGTCGCTGTTGCACTCGCGCAACTCCTGCAAGACGCTCAAATGTCCCAAATGCAACTGGCATTATAAGTATCAGCAAACCCTGGATGTCCACATGAAGGAGAAACATCCGGAGAACAACAGCCACTGCGCCTACTGTAGCACCGGCGGCCCCCACCCGCGCCTGGCTCGCGGCGAGAGCTACAACTGCGGTTACAAACCCTATCGCTGTGAGGCCTGCAATTACTCCACCACTACTAAGGGCAACCTGAGCATCCACATGCAGTCCGATAAACACCTGGCCAACCTCCAGGGCTACCAAGCCACAGGAGGCAGTGGGCCGCCGGTGGCTCCTCCAGTGGCGCCTTCCCCGTCCTCCCCCGAGGAAAAGGAGTCGAAGGGCAAGTCGTCCTGGCAATGCAAGGTGTGCAGTTACGAGACCAACATCTCCCGTAACTTACGGATCCACATGACGTCCGAGAAGCACATGCAGAACATGCTGTTGCTCCATCAAGGGCTGCCGTTGACTTTGCCGGGACTTCTGGGACAACCTCAGACCCCTCCAGGAGGCAAGGCTCAGACCGAGCTCTTCCCGTTCTATGGGGCACAGGCTCTAGGCCACGGCCATCACTCGCATTCCCACCAGGTCCACGCAGGGAGCAACCCACCTCTGCGGGCAGACAAGCCCATGGAACAACCCCAACTCTTGCTCAACGGAGGCTTCCAACATCTCAGTGCGGCGGGGCGGAAGATGGCCACTTTGGGGGCAGGTAAGAAGGACTTTCCATTCTTGGTGTCCATGTGGACCTCTAGGTCCTGCCTACAAGGATCCCAAGCTTGACTTTGTTCCTTGTTCTGTTGTTCTTCATCCATCCATGGTCCACCATTTCTTCAAGATCTCCCCTGGCATCTTGATTTGTCTCTCTCTCTCTATCTCTTACATCCATGGTTATCATGTCTTGTGCACCGTTGTCTCTTAAAAATCCAAGTTTCGTTTCCATGTTGTGGAACCAACCTCAATTCTTTAGTTAGTTTAGCAATAGCCCTTCTATACCGCTTTCACAACCCTCAAGAGTTGAAGATTAGCTCCCAACAATCTGGCTCATTTTTACCAACCTCGGAAGGACGGAAGGCTGAGTCGATCTCGAGCCGGTCGGGATCGAACGACTGACAATAGGCAGAGTTAGTCTGCAGTACTGCATTCTCATTCTTTAATAGCTGTTGTGGCATGCCGGCAGAGCTGGCAGCAGAGTTGGACAGTGAGGAGGTTGGAGAGGAACTTGGGCCACTCCTGGGGGCTGGGGAAAGCTCGGACGAGGGCTCTGAGTCGGAGGCAGAGAGGGAGCTAGACAGCAGTGAGGCAGAGGAACAGCTGGAGCCTGTTCCCAGTATGTGCATGCGCAGAGCTGCCAGAAGACAAGAACAACTCAGAAAGCAGGGTCGACTCAGGAGTAAAGCCATACCTTGGAGGTGATTGGCCCCTCCCATAGGAAATAAAACAAGAGCGAACGGGGAGGGTTAGGCTGGCTGGGGAATTCTGGGAGTTGAAGTCCACAATTCTGAAAGTTCCCGCGGTTGGGAAACATTGCCTGATAGATACGCGAAATTCACCCGTCCATTTTGTTTCTCGTCTCTGCAGCTCCCGCCTCTCTCTCTCCTGAACCACCTCCCCCTTCCTCGCCACCAGCCCCATCTGGACCCGACCTGCTGACCCCCCAGAGATTGTTCAGCTGTCTGGTGTGCCAAGTCTTCAGCACCGACAGTTTGGATAGCCTCCTCCGGCACGCCTCCACCCCGCGCTCCCTACCGGAGATGGAATGGAAAGAAATCTCCGGCGACCTGCACCGTTGTCGGCTCTGCGCTTACGGCACCCAGCTGAAAGCCAACTTCCAGCTTCACCTGAAGACCGACAAGCACGCCTTGAAGTACCAGCTGGCCGCTCACCTGCGGGAAGGGGGCAGCTTGGCTGCACACCTGGGGGTGGAGCTGCCCCTGGGACCGCCCCTACATCTTCATTGCAACCTGTGTGAATACGAGACCAACAGCAAGGAAAAAATCCAGCTTCACGTTGCCGGCACCGGCCACCAGGAAGCATTGCAAGGTTATAAGGTACCAAATTTTGGGGTGAGGATGCAGAGAAAAGTAGAATTGAGAATAATAATCAGTATAGGCAGTCCTCGATTTACGGCCACGATGGAGCACCAAATTTGTGTTGCTCAGTGAAGCGTATGCTGAGCTTCGCCCGGTGTTTCTTCCCACATTAACAAACGCAGTTGTTAAATTAGTAACACCATTGTTAAGTGAATCCGGCTTCCCCATTGCTTGTCGGAAGGTCGAAAAAGGGGGTCACGGGACCTCGGGACACGGCAACCGTCATAAGTATGAGTCAGTTGACAAGCCTCTGCGATTTGATCACGTGTCCGTAACAACGGTCAACAGTGAGGGAAAAAGTAACTTCGTTGTAACTTCAAACCATCACTAAATGGTCGTAAGTCAAGGACTGCCTGTACAAGTGTTACTGAAAAGGGGTGCAGCAGCGGTCCCCGAAGGACCTGGATGAGGTTGAACTGGAACCCCACAAAAAGTGCAGAGAAGAGCAACAAAGGTGATTAGGGGCCCGGAGGCTAAAACATATGAAGAACGGTTGCAGGAACTGATTACGTCGATTTTGATGAAAAAAAGGATTAGGGGAGATATGATAGCAATGTTGCAATATTTGAGGGGCTGCCACAAAGAAGAGGGAGTCAACCTATTTTCCAAACCACCTGAAGGCAAGACAAGGAAGTAATGGGTGGAAGATAACAGAGTTGGAAGGGTCCAACCCCCTGCTCACGCAGAAGACCTTAGCTTCAGTTTTGAAGGATCCACAACTTCTGGTGGCAAGATGTTCCACTGGTTAATTGTCCTCACTGTTAGGTAGTTTCTCCTTAATTCCAGGTTGCTTCTCCCCTTGAGGAGTTTCCACCCGTTGCTTCATGTCCTGACAGTGAGAACAATTAACCAGTGGAACCGCTTGCCTCAAGAAGTTGTGGGGCCTCCATCCCCTGGAGGTTTTTTTTAAAGAAGAGACTGGACAGCCATTTGTCCGGAATGTGGGTACAGGGTCTCCTGCTTGAGTGGAGGGGTTGGACTAGAAGACCTCCAAGGTGGCTTTCAACCCTATTATTCTAGAAAAGGGTACAGATCAGTGGTGGATTGCCCCCGGTTCAGACCGGTTCGCAAGAACCGGTAGTAAAACCGGCAGGAGTAAAACCGCTCACCCACCCGGATGTCATCAGGAAGCTTCTGCGCAGAAGCACGCGCGGTCCCATTGCGAATCGGTAGTAAAGGTAAGTAGAACCCACCCCTGATAGAGATGAAGGCCTCAACAAGTAGGTTTAAGTACCAAGGGGGTACGGAGAAAGGCAAGGGGGAAGAGAGGCCAGTAGCCCCACAAGGGGACCAATGACCACTAATCGGTTGTCCCAGTAGGATTGGTGACCTGGAAGACAACAGGGGCGTCCTCTTCTTCGAAAGTACAATCCCCCTTTCTTGTTTCACCCCTAGTTGCTTCTAGAAATGGAGACCACCTCGGCACCCCCGCCCGTCTCCGAACCCGCGCAGTTCCGCTGCCTCCTGTGTCACGTCGATTCGCCCAATCGCCTGGCCATGATCCAGCACCTCCGCTCGCCCCACCACCGCGAGGCTCACGGCCAGTGGCGCCTCCAGCTACTCCAGAACGGCGAAGGCACGTTGGGCCTCGAAAGATACGTCTGCTTTGTGCCCGCCAACGCCGCAGGTAACCGCCGCGCCACTCGGCTCGTGGGTGGGGTGGCGTCGCGGACCTTCGAGGCAAGAGTTGGGTCCCAACGGGGATGAAATGTTGATTTTTTTTTTTTTAGGGAGATTGATGGGGTGGGGGGCAATGGGAAAGGACCCACAACCACACCATGAAGAGATCTACAGAAGGGGACGCGTGCTCGATCCTGGGAGGGGGGAGGGGGTGGGAATTGAGACACCCCCGCCCCCAGGGGATAGCAAACACTGTGTAATTTCTTAAGCCTGCTGAATGTTTTACTCCACGTCTCGCTCCGTGGATGTTGGAGTGCAGCGCCGCTGAGCGCGGTACGTTCCTGTTTTTCCTCCTCTCTGCCAGCCCCCGCCAGCCGCCGCCTCCTCTCGTTACACACACACACACACACACACACAGAGCTTCATAATGGATTATGACAGATACTGGGGGAGGTTGCCTAGCAACCTGCAGGAAGAATGAAGGAGAAGAGAAATGAGACCGAGATACGTAGAGGACCACAGCCGGGGAGAAGTTAGAAGGGGAGAAGGGGTGGTGGTGGTGTGGTGTGGAAGGAAAGATATATATTTCTCCCTCCCCCAGCTGAGGCTGCCTACCCACCCACTCGCCCCCCTCCCTTCCCCACTCCTCCCACACCGGGGAACCTTATCCGAGCGGTGGCGGCAATTGGCCGTCTTCCCAGATTGATGGTTTGCAATCCGTCTGACCTTACGTCCTTACCTGGCACGGGAAGGCAATAGGGATCACCAGGATGGGATTTAAAAAAAATAAAATAAAAATAAAATAGAGGGGAGGGGGTGCCAGTGGGCAACGCATGATTGAAAGCGGGGTGACGGCACATGACCGAGGGTCGATCCACCGGCCAGGCCTTTTCACCTTTTTTGGAGAAGAGCTCGAGGGACGGACGGATGGCGAGAACGGCGGCGCAATCCGGGCTACAGCCACGATGGAAACGGGAGAGGGGGGGACCCCAGGAGGGTTTAGGGACATGGGAATTCTCGCCCCGATGTGCCGTATGTGCGGACGAGGTGGACTTGCTGATTCTCGCCCCTCGTCAGTGAGAAATGGGGGTCTTCACGTCGCGGCGGGCGTATCGAGCCGCGCTAATTGACTTGCCGATGGTAGCGAGGCCGTGTCTATCGGCCAGGGAGGCCAGCCCCGTTCAATATTAACGATCCCGCTCGGGTTGAGAGTTTAATTAGTCGCTGACGAGGATAAAGGCCTGGATCGTGCGTCATTCAGGTTTTTCACAGCCTGTAGGGTGGAATTCCCATTTTCTCTCTCTCTCTCTCTCTTTTCCTTTTTTCTTCTTCCTCCTCTTTTTTGGCATCCTTTTGAATGTCCGGTCTTAGATGAGGGGGAACGGTACTTTCAGAACACTGGAAAACCGCCTGCCGCAGGCGGTCCTCAATGTACGACCGCAACGGAGCCCAGCATTTATGTCGCTAAGCGAGACATCGGTATGCCCCGTTGTACGGTTTTCCTTGCCAATTTGTCAAGTGGATCCCAGCCGTTGTTAAATTAGCAATCCGGTTGTTCAGGGAATTCCTGTATTCGTTACCTGAGGAACCCGGTTGTTAAGCGAATCGTTGTGGTGGTTGTTAGTCGCCCGGTTGTTAAGTGAATCCGGCTTCTCCCCCCCCCCCCATCTTGACTTTGCTCATCGGAAGGTCGCAAAAAGGGGACCGTCAGAAATGGGAGTCACTTGTCAAGCATCCGAATGTCAATCACGTGAAACTTGGGGACGCTGCAACGGTCGTAGGTGTGAAAATTGGTCACAAGTCCCTTCGTAAGTTCGAAGGGTCTCTAAATGAACTGTTGCAAAGCGAGGACTCCTCCTTTTTTTCAATTTATTCTTTCTTCCCGTCTTGTTCTCGCCATTTCTAGGGAAGGAACCTCTTCCGGATACTTTAACACCTGAAAAAGAAAAGCAGAATAAAACACGGATCACTGGTGAGTAACAAGCCACGCGCGCAATGCAAACAGTCCTCGGTTTACGACCACAAAGGAGCCCAAAATTTCTGTCGCTAAGTGAGTCGCTTGTGAATTTTTTTTTTGCCCCGATGTACGACCTTTCTCGCCACAGTCGTTCAGAGAATCACCGCCGTTGATGAAAGGAGTCGCGCAAGTGGCTCGTTTAGCGACCGTCCAAAGGCACAACGGTGACCGACGTCCGGTTTTTACACGCTTAACGACCGTCGCAGCATTCCCCCCGTAGTCTCATGATCAAAAATTTGGATGCTTGGTGACAGACTAGTACTAAGGGCAGGGGAGTCCCATGATCCCCGTTTGCGACCTTCCCACGTGGCAAAGTCAAGGGGAAAGCCGGTTTCACTTAACGACGGTGTGACGAACTTCGCAACGCCGAGAAAAAGGCTGCAGAATGGGGCAAAATTCACCTGACGAGGGTCTCGCTTAGGGAGACAAATTTTGGGCTCAATCGTGGTTGTAAATCGAGGACTAGCTCTGTGTGTGTGTGTGTTTGTGTGAAAGGGGGGGGGATGAATGAATGAATTACATGCCCCAATCGCTCCTCAGCACCCATCCTTCCAGCTTCAGGCAAATTGCACACTCGGTGGCTTTCTTTCTTTTTCTTTCTTTCATTCATTCTTTCCCTTTTTCCCCTCCTTCCCTCTTCCTTTTCCCTCCCTCCCTTCTTTCTTCCTTTTCCTTCTCCCTTCCCTCCCTTTCTCTCTTCCCTTTGTTCTTTTTTCCTTCCTTTGTTCCCCCTCCCTATTTCCTTCTATTTCTTCCCTTTGCCTTCCTCCCTTCCTTTCTTCCACATCCTCCCTATTCCCTTCCATCCTTGCTTCTTCTTCTTTCCTTCCTTCTTTCCTTTCTTCCTCTTCTATCTTTTTCCTTCCTTCCTCTTCTATCTTTCCTTCCCTCTGCCCTCCCTCTATTTTTCTCCTTCCTTCCTTCCATCCATCTATCCATCTCTCGTTCCTTCCTTCCTTTTCTATCTTTCCTTCCCTCTGTCCTCCCTCTATTTTGCTTCCTTCCTTCCACCCATCCATCTCTCCTTCTTTCCTTCCTTTCCTTCCCTCTGCCCTCCCTTTTTTTCTCCTTCCTTCCAACCATCCATCTGTCCTTCTTCCTTTCCTTCCTTCCTCTTCTATCTTTCCTTCCCTCTGCCCTCCCCCTATTTTGCTTCCTTCCTTCCATCCATCCATTCTGTCCTTCTGTCTTCCTTTCCTTCCTTCCTTCCTCTTCTATCTTTCCTTCCCTCTGCCCTCCATTTTTCTCTCTCCTTTCCTTCCTTCCTTCCTCTTTTCTTTCCTTCCCTCTGCCCTCCCCCTATTTTTCTTCCTTCCATCCATCCATCCCTCTCTCCTTCCTTCCTTCCTCTTTCCTTCCCTCTGCCCTCCCTCTATTTTTCTCCTTCCTTCCTTCCATCCATCCATCCATCTCTCCTTCCTTCCTCTTCTACCTTTCCTTCCCTCGGCCCTCCCTCTATTTTTCTCCTTCCATCCATCCATCCTCCTTCCTTCCTCTTCTATCTTTCCTTCCCTCGGCCCTCCCTCTATTTTTCTCCTTCCATCCATCCATCCATCCATCCATCCATCCATCCATCCATCCATCCATCCTCCTTCCTTCCTCTTCTATCTTTCCTTCCCTCTGCCTTCCCTCTATTTTTCTCCTTCCATCCATCCATCCATCCATCCATCCATCCATCCATCCATCCATCCATCCATCCATTCTCCTTCCTTCCTCTTCTATCTTTCCTTCCCTCTGCCCTCCCTCCGTTTTTCTCCTACCTTCCTTCCTTCCTTCCTTCCTTCACCAAATTTGATTTTTTCCCCCCCCCCAACAGCTTCCGATGAGACCGAAACAGCGGCTTCTGGCAGCGCGGGGGACACGACGGTGAGTCGGGCTCGTTTCTTTTTGATTTTTTGGGGGGGTGGCGGGTGGCATCTGAACAGCATCGGAGCTTAGCCCCACTTCCTGCCTTTGCCCCCTCCCCACCCTCACCCCCCCACCCCTGCCTCCCACCCAAAATTCAGGCCGCCTCGTCTTAACCCCCCACCCCCACCCCGCTGCTCCCCCCCATCCCAAGTCTTGGCAGGGGTTCAAACGTTTCTGAATTAAAACTCAAAAATTAATTAGCGTCGTCGGCAGAGGCGGCCGGATGGATGGGTGGGTGGGCGAAGAGAGATGATTCACCCACACGACGACAATTGTGTGCAGTCAAGCGTGAACGGAGGAGGTTAATAACGGGACCGCCAGACACTACACTTTGGCTGCCAACCTATCCAGTTTCTCTCTCTCTTTTTTCTCTCTTTTTTTTTTCCTCCTTTTTTTTCCCCTCCTCTTTAAAATGATAATGACGGATTGGAGTTTTATACCGACTTAATAGCAGGAGCTCCGTCGAAAATCGTTCTAATTCTCAATTTCTGGAGCCCTTCTGGGGTGGGGTGGGTGGGCTGGGGCTTAGGGGGGAGGGTGTAGGATGCAGGGGCCGGGGATGATGGGCCTGGTGGTTTTTTGGGGGGGAGGGGGGATTTCCACCCTTGTTAAACAAAGCACGCCGAGGTGAGGGAGCTGGACGCCCTCCCCTCCTCCTCCTTTGCTCTCTGCTTTTGTTCAGATTCAAAGCGTTCGGTCGGTCGTTTTAAGACATTTTTTAAAAAAGAAAGAAAGAAAGAAAGAAAGACAGAAAGAAAGAAAGAAAGCAGACTGTTGTGTTAGAAGGGTTTGGGATAAGTCTAATTGGATTTCCGAATTTGGCAAAAAGGCCAATTTAACCCTGCTTCTTGGGTGGTGGATTAAGAATAATCCAGAATTCCTTCCTTCCTTCCCTCCCTCTTCTCTCTTCTTTTCTCTCCTTCCTTCCTCCCTCCCTCCTCCCTCTTTTCTCTCCTTCATTCCTTCCACTTCTATCTTTTCCTTCCTTCTTCCCTCTTCTCTTTTCTCTTCCTTCCTCTTCTATAGTCTTTTCTCTCCTTCCTTTTATCCTTTTCTTTCCTCCCTTCCTCTTCTATCTTTTCCTCCTTTCCTCTTCTGTCTTTATCTCCTTCCTTTCTTTTATTTTCTTTCCTTCCTCTTTTTCCTTTTCTTCCTTCCTTCCACCCTCCCTCTTTTCTCCTTCCTCCCTGTCCTTCTCCTTCTTTCTCTTCTATCTTTCTCTTCTTCCTTCCTTTCTTCCTCCCTCCCCCTCTTCTTTCTTCTCCTTCCTTCCTTCTTCTATCTTTTCTCTCATTCCTTCCTCCCTCCCTCCTCTTCTGTTTTCCTTCCTTCCTTCCTCTTCAATATTTCTCTCCTTCCTTCCTCTTTTATTCTTTTTCCTTCCTTCCTCTTCTATCTTTTCTATCCTTCCTTCCTCCTTTCCTCCTCCCTCTTCTATCTTTTCCTTCCTTCCTCTTCTATATTTCTCTGCTTCATTCCTTTTATTCTTTTTCCTTCCTTCCTTCCTCTATCTTTTCTATCCTTCCTCCCTCCTTCCTCTTCTTTTCCTTCCTTCCTTTTGTATATTTATCTCCTTCCTTCCATTCTTTCCTTTCCTTCCTTCCTTCCACCCTCCCTCCTTCTCCTTCTTTTCCTTCCTTCCTTCCTCTATCTTTTCTCTTCTTCCTCCCTCCCTCCCTCCCTCCATCCTTCCCCTTTTCTTTTCCATCTTGACTTTTTTGCCCCTGTCGCAGATGCATCTTGGGGAAAGAGGTGTGCCAATCAAAGTCCATTCTTCCCTTTTTTGAGGGTGTCCTGATACGTTGTGAACCCTTTCTGGAGTTTGGGGTGTCTCACTTTCCGATTTCCCTTTTTTAACTCTTCCGCTATCTCCTCCTGCCGCCTCAGGTCTCCTGCTGTCCGTACTGCAATTACGTCGATCCGTCGTCCGAAGCCGTGCGGGCCCACACTATCTCCCAGCATGCCGTGCAGCCCAAGTTCCACTGCCCGCTGTGCCAGGAGCAGCTGGTCGGCCGGGCCAACCTCCACTTCCATCTCAGCCACGTTCACAACGTGGTGCCCGAATGCGTGGAAAAGCTGCTACTGGTGGTGGGTGCAAGGGCCACGGAGCCACGGCCTCCTTAACCGCTCCCCCCACCCTCGATCCATCGGGGAAGTTTCTCTACCCGCTGAACCCGGGGGTGGGTGGGTGGGTGGGAAGCTCAACCTGTTGAGTGGGGGCCCGTCTGACGGGAATTTGGGGCTAAGGGACGGGGGTGGGGGTGGGGGAAGACGAGACAGGCAGGCTGCCGTGATGGGGAACATTTTACTGGGGCGGATTTTTTTAAAAATTATGTTTTGTCTCTGTTTCCGCTTCAGGCCACGCCGGTTGAAATGACTTTCGCCACCAAGGTTGTTCCCGGAGTCCCTCTTCCTCCTGACCCACCCAAACCAGGGGGCACCCACGGCGTAGAGCAAGGGGCCAGACCGGACGCCCTGAGCCCCTTTATTGGTAAATGATTTCTTGATCTATTCCAGGGACGGCTAACCTTTTTCTCTTCGTGTGCCAAAAGCACAAGCACGCGCTCGTGATAGCACACGCCCCCCCGTGCATGTGCACGCAATCCCCACACATGCACGCGAGGGGTGGGATTCAAAAATTTTAGCAACCTGCACCATAGCAGGAGGAGGGGGCGTTTCCGCCCTCCCCAGGCTCCGGAGGCTTTTCTCGAGCCTCTGGGAGGACAAAAACGCTCTCCCTCAGGCTCTGGAGGCCCTCCAGAGGCCGGAAATGGGCCCATTTCTGGACTTCTGGTAGGCCCATTTTTTGCCCTCCTCAGGCTCTGGAGGCTTTCCTCGAGCCTTTGGGAGGGCGAAAATGGCCTCCCCTGGGCTCTGGAGGCCCTCTGGAGGCCGGAAACGGGCCCATTTCTGGACTTCCGGTAGGCCCATTTTTCACCCTCCTCAGGCTCTGGAGGCTTTCCTCAAGCCTTTGGGAGGGCGAAAATGGCCTCCCCTGGACTCTGAAGGCCCTCTGGAGGCCGGAAACGGGCCCATTTTTGGACTTCCAGTAGGCCCGTATTTCGCCCTCCCCAGGCTCTGGAGGCTTTCCTCAAGCCTTTGGGAGGGCGAACATGGCCGGCTTCCAGACTCCCACTAGGGGCATTTTCCACCCTCTCCAGGCTCTGGAGGCCTTTTTCAAGCCTCCGGGAGGGTGAAAATGGCCTCCCCCGGACGCCAGAGGCCAGAAACGGGGCCGTTTCCATACTTCTGGAATATGCACGCCTCTTTCACCCCACGCTTCGCCCCCACTCATGCGCACACGCCCCCCGCGCATGCATGTGCATATCTCACGCGCCCCCTGCCCCCTGCGCATCCCAAAAATCAGTTGGCCGGTGGGAGGCGCATGCGCGAATGCGCAGTGGAGCTCAGCTGTGCAACCGCTTGCGTGCCCGCAGAGAGGGCTCTGCCTGCCAGCTGTGACACCCATGCCATAGGTTCGCCATCACGGATCTATTCTATTCTATTCTATTCTATTCTATTCTATTCTATTCTATTC